ATATATATATATATATATATATATATATATATATATATATATATATATATATATAGAGAGAGAGAGAGAGAGAGAGAGAGAGAGGATTGACTCAAATTACATTCTCAGAACTTTGATTAATGCTAATACCAGCGCTATTATCATTTTCACATTCGCAATTTGTAAAATTCTTTACAAAGAGCTTTTTGATCGCCACGTTAAAAGTCTCTCGACATCAACTATAAAAACATGCATACACACAATAAAAATTAGAACTCCTCATTTAACAAATTTAAAATTGAATCTTGGTGTGATCTTAGCGTCTTCCCACCCAAAGTCAAAGCAATTATTCTTTTTCTGTCTTTAATCTTATATTATTAAAGTCTTTTACTATCTCTCTTTGATATCCTGCAACTTTTGTCTAAAATCTTTTTTTCATACAAAGCATTCTTTTCGCCATACTTGCGATTGTTATATTAAATGTCTTACAGGGCATTATATTATAAAGCATCATATGCCTACATATATCATATGTATACACGTATACATATATCATATGTATATATATGTATGTATACATGTATGCATGCATATACGTATGCATATACAGAGTGTCCTAGACTTTCCTCTGCAATTTTTGTGGGAATGTAGAATGGATTGAAGTAAACATACAAGACCTATACCGTTTTGTGATATTCGCAATAATAGTCGAGATATTAATTAAAGCAGATTGGTGAATAATCACGCGCGATATAGTAGTTTAGCTGTAATGGCAATGTGTACTGTTGTGTACTTGTACATTAGATCAAATTAAATAAAAAGGCCTGTTATCATTTTGAAAAAAAAACCACATAAATTTTGTTATTAATGAAAGAAAATCGTTACTTGATTGTGCGCGATAATATACAAATCTGCTTTAATTAATATCTAAAAATCTATGTAGTGCAAAATAATAGAGGACTTTTTTGTTCAGTTTGACCTAATATATAAATATACAGTGGCAGATGGCGCCACAGCTTATCTACCATATCGATCATTCACTAATCTTCTTTAATTAATATTTCGAGATTTATTACGAATATCGCAAAACGATATGGAACTTTTACATTTATCTCAATCCGTACATCCCGTACATCCGTACAAAAATTACGAAGGAGAGTCTGGGACATCTTGTATATATCAAAACTATACTGTATGTATAATATCAAAAACACGTGTACAATATATAATATTTTTATATCATTGATCTTATACGTCGAATTGAATTGATATTTTCTTTTTTATATGGTCTTTATCCGTTTTGGTAAAAATGTCTTTATAGAATTTTCATCGCAATATTTCGTCATTGTGTAGGTAGCGCAGACACTGGAAGATTCATTAATTAGAGGGTAACGAGAAATTATTTTCGTGTAACTATGAAGAAATTTCATGTAAGAGATACGTGAGTGAATAGTATTGACAAGAATTGATCTCTATAATTCACAAAATAAATTTCAGTTAATTTCTTTTCACCTAGTTTTTCAAAGTTGTAAAATAACCGAAATCAGAGTCAGATGTAAGATTTTAACGAAATTTTCTATAGAAATCATAAACATAACATTCGTGCTCCTCTTGCTTTGTATGACACATAGATCAATGTATATAATATTCGATTCATACGTGATTCACGTGATTGTATACTCGATATGACATTGATCGATCGACTTGAAATAGTTGCGCCAGCAATGAATAAAGAAAAGTATACTATCGTTTACCGTCAACTCTCTGTAAGATTCGTCTTAAGAACAGTCAATAATTAAATGCTTTCTTCTGTGTTTTGCGAAAATAAAAACTACAAACAGGCTACAATACATTTTGAATAGAAACTAAAAACTTTAAATAATGAGAAACAAAATTTTTCCCCATTTTTTTGACTCATACATTTTTTATACATAAAAAAGTGATACTGCTCAGAAATGACCAACGAATCACATCGCGTTATCGGAAAACAGCGAATCTCACAGACGGTTAATATTAATATATATTCGCATTACCCTCACGGATCATTGCCTTTTCCTCTTTTAAAGAAAAGTCAGCGAAGATTACGTGAAGAAAAGAAAGCACGCAAGTGTATACCGGAATACAATGTATAAAAAGCAATATCCACTGCATACCTACATGTGACAGTTGCGTATACTTTCGTACACGCATATACGTAAAATACGATTATACATCCGATCTGCTCGCGATCCGTTTCCAATTGTCGAAAATTTACCAACTCAATTGTAAATTTACTGTAGAATGCGCTTGGTAAGGATGTAACAATATTGTGCATATTGTATATAACGATGACGAGTGTGCGAACAAACGTGCATGAACTCTAAAACATTGTTTGAAGGAAGAGTTGTATGTTTGTCCAAGAAAAATAATGTGTCTTACATATGGCAAGTAGATGATAAGAAACTCTTACGATATTTCTCATACTACACAATTATTAGTTTACGAAATAATAAATGTATTCTTCTCGCGTTAGAAGAGTTAAAAGTGTAATAGTTTAATAATAGGTTGAGAGTGAAAGGGAGGTGTGTGTGTGTGTGTGTGTGTGTGTGTGTGAGAGAGAGAGAGACAGATTACAAAGTTACAAAACCTGCTTTGTCTTGTTATAATCAAATACTTTGTATCATGTAGCACAGTTTGTCATTAAACGTGTGAACAAACCTACATCATTAAAATCACTCTTTAATCAAGCTGGCAGATGTAAAAAGAATATGATGTTATTATTACACTGTCTTTATATGTTGCTAATGTACCAATCTCACATCTTCTTGCATATATGGCGTTCCCGCCATCATTAAACAAGTCTTAAACGTATGACCTCCGAATTTAAAAACAAACTATCTCTCTAACCTTTTACGGAGAAAATAATCATTTTTCGTAAAATTATAAGCATTTTGGGAACTGAACACTTAGAACGCTTTAAATGAGATTCCTCGAAACTTAATTCTCAAATAAACCCTTTGATTTTTCATACTAAATATTATTGTCAATGGAATCGTATATTTGAGATAAAGTGTAGTATAAGTGATTTCTCTCTCGATTGCAATCATTGGTGAGCCACTACTGTTCTTCCGCTGTTCATCCTCAGCTGACTAGCATCTCTATTTTTATCATTGAGCGCATCTTCCTCAGCTTCATCGGAATCAATTTCTACGATTGGTTGCCATGGAATCGGATTTACATACGCCGGCTTTGCTTTCTGATGTGCTGAAATGACATAAATTATGTAAATTCATTTAAAAATGTCCATAATTTTTTCGGGATATACATATCAATTGTGCATCTTATGTCCGTATAAACATACGAAGTAATCCTTGCGTGGCGGGCTTAGGTCTATTTTTAGAATCTTGTCTCCATCTTTCGTAAGCTTTCGAACATTGCTCCAGTCTTTCCTCGCGTTCTTCGTTTATCTTTCTTTGCCTCGACTCCTGTTCTTTGTGCCGAACTGCGAAAAGAGGAAACGATTTTTATCGTTCTTCCTCGATTCATCCACTCACGAACGGCATAAGTTACGTAGAAAAGTATAATCGCACCTTTCTGTTCTTCCTTCTTCTTGTGAATCCACTGACGAAGGTACAGAGTCTTCGCTATGGCGGCTTTATCCTCAATCTCCTTCAGTCGCGTCTGCAATTCCAATTCGTTTTGGAGCATCGCTTTTCTGTCGAGCTCTTGCCGCCGTTTCCCCTCTATCCACTTGAGAAAGTTCTGCTTTTCCAGCCGAGCTCTCTCCTCCTTCTTCTGTGTCGTCTTCTCCTCCTCCTCCTGACGCTTCTTCATCGCACGTTCCTCATCCTCTCGTTTACGTTGTGCAGCTTTATGCTTCCTGCGTATCCATTCCGAATAAGCAATTCGCCTAGCAAAGTCAGTTCCTCCGCTCGACAGTTGCCGACAATTGCTGACGTCTGGATCGGAGAGTGATGTTATGGAAATTCGCATGACCTGCCGATTGTCCATATCAATATATCTGCGATCAAGTAGAATATAGAACGTTAGGGTGTACACGATTTTGTGTCTTATCAAGATTAGAAAATTAAATAATCTTTCCTCATTCGTCTGTCTTTTTGCAAAGTGTTTCTTATCGAAAAGCGCCAACTTGTCGTAAGCCATGGTAGCTAGTTTAATTTGATAAGAATTGCGCAATAGGAGGAGCAAACTATTGAGGAAAAGCGCATCGTACCTCTCGCGCCGCACCGCTTCGTTCTGACAAACATTCTCCACGGTGCTATCGATCTTGCATCGTCGTTCTACTCGTGCGATAGTCTCGGACGAGACTACGGAGCGAGTTGTCGAACGTTCGAGGCACAACGTAGCGTCAGGGAGCGTCGTCGAGTAGCACCTATAGGTATTTTGTCCGGTGATTGCTTGTTCGCTTGTTCCATCCTCCGTTGCGGTATGAAGCGCGACATCAGCTAAATCGATGACCGAAGATTTGGAACCGCCACGACCGATAAGCATTTTATAACGATGTTCTCGCTGACGATCATTCAATTCGGATCGAATCTCGCTCTTCAACGCGTCTCGCTCTTCTTCGCTGACGGGTTTCGTGTAAATAGCAGAGTTAACGTAACGAATCTCGAGGCTAGATTTCGAGTTTGTAGCGTGATAACAATTATCAGCTTTGCAAGTTACACCGGAATATGTGCTGATGAGATCGACCTTTCTCTCTCTTCCTCGCAAGTTTGAACAGTCTTTTCGACTGGATTCTTTAGGATTGGATTCCATTTTCGAATCGCCAATGTCGCGATCCTTTGGCTACTTTTGAATCGTAGTTTGCCAGACGTATGTTGGCAATTACTTGATACGTTGATACATAATTACGGGGATGCTTCGTTACGATTCAATTCCGTGTAAATATTTGCAGACGGAAAGATGTAAGTAGTAAAACTTGAGAGGTAAGCGAATCGATCAATCGAAACATTTAATACGATAGTCTTACTTTTCTCGATTATTTTCGAATGTGACCAACTCGCTTATTGTTCAAGTCTTATTGCATAAGTATCGATGATCTATGACGATTTTCGTGTCGTGTTTACAGAAGAACAATAGCGAGATTACTTACTGTCTGTTGGATATTTCGCATTCGCAAGGTAAGAGTAAGATAAATTAATTCTAAGTTACTCGATAGTTATTCTCAGAGATTTCCTGAGAAGATAAGAGAAAAGAGTATATATAATTAAATCTTGCAAAAATTTATAAATTATTTATATATTCAATGTACATTTACTCTTTCCACAGATACATAAATATACATTTCCATAACGAAAACTTTAATGTGTTACAAATCTTATAAAACGATAGATTTAAATCAACATTACGCGCGCGAATTTTTCGGAGGAATTATTATTCTTCCGATATAATATGATACAATTTTTACATATACTGCTCCTACTGCATATAGGAGCACGATACTAACACTACGTACACTTTATGAATACATTAGCGTGCAATTATATTTTCGGCAAAGGTAAATTTGTCTGATCCAACAAAAAAGTCGACAACGACTTGAAAAATTCTTGAACAATGTCAAGAGAGGAAGTGAGAGTATCTTGCTACTTTGCTTTCGTACAAGTCTTTTCCTTCAACTCCCAACAAGATTCCCAAAATTGTTTGAGCCTGTTGTCTCCGTTGGAGCAGAAATGTCGAAAATCCTGTATGATTTTCTTCTGAAATAACTCGTCTCCCGCTGATGTGGACAGCGACTTCCATTTACGACTGACCATGTGATTCCAGGACCATAAAAATCCCATCTGAATAATAACGAGGAAAACAAACGATACAATCGCGAACGATACGAAAGCTCTCTCTCTCTCTCTCTCTCTCTCTCTCTCTCTCTCTCTCTCTCTCTTCTCTCGTAGGTAGATTTGTTCGACTCACCTTTCTGTCTATGCCGTAATCATCCTTATTTTTGCCACTAACGTGTCTTGTGATGTATGCCTCGTGCGGACTAGGTTGGTCCGGATGAACTGGATATCTTTTCTGTACTGTGTTTCGTCGAACGACGTTGGTGCCGGTCCGTGGACGCGGTCGAGTATTTGCCGTGGATGGTACCAGTATAAATGCGTTGCCGGTAATATGAACGTACTGATGATCATTATCGGTATTCTCAACTAGACACGGTACGAAGCCGAATCTCTGTAGAATCGCTTCTTGGAAGAGAAACAGTCTTTGCGCGTATGTGTCCTCTCGGAATTCTATGCACACATTTCGATTGTATCACGTTATCGCACGAACGCAGATGCGTATCATTGCGTCACAATTGAAACGTACCTTCGAAGAGATATCGCTTATTTGCCATTAAACACTCCGTATCGAGCGGTATAAAGATCGGTCCTCTGAGCGGATCGCTTTTCAAAGTGAATGGCAGTGCTAATAGATCACTGGGAACGGGAACCATCTGTATTCCGCACATTTGTGCTTTGCGTTGCCAAACGAATATCTTATGGGGAAATATTGTATTACTTCACGTATCGTATTGGCCCGTACTGGATTCGCAGTAAGCAGACAAAGGGAACAGACTCACCAGATCGGCCACTATACTGCCGGATGATGCTACCCATTGTACTACGAGTTCGTAGGAGTGATCCACCTTATAGATGGACTGATACCTCAAGTGGCCCCATTCAATTCTGTCGCTTTTATTGTTAATGTCGATATCCAGATGAGTGTGTTTATATAACGGTACTGCAAAAAATTGCGTCTTATGGTAAGTGATACATATTTCTTTGTAACTATTGAATATCACTGATCTGATTCGTCCATATGTCTCTCTAAAGTGTATTATAAATGTAAGGATCGATTATGTTCCAAGATTTACTCTCGCGACGTTTGTAGAAAACGTCGGATCCACTCTTACCTGTCCAGCTCTTATCATCCATTGATTCCGTCAAGTCGATATTGTCTCTTAAAAAAGGCGGAACATTAGATTCGTCGATATCGTCGCAACTGGATATGGTTATAGGGGATGACATTGTCGACACTATTGTTGGAGATGCTGGTTCGCACCATCCTTTCGGTGGTCTCATCTCCACCTCTACCCACTCGTTTTCGAAACTTTCCAAATCACCGAGCGGAGCGGAATAGTCTGCGGCTATTGGTAATAAATCGATACGTGAATGAAACTTGGGCGAAGAAGTGCCAAACAATCTGGCCTGCTTACCTTTTTGATTTTCTTTGTCATGCACAATATGATATAAATAAAATCCCAGAACAAATGGTTTTGAAAAGTCGCCGGACGCATGACATATCAGTTTATCTTGAATCATTCCCTGAACAGAGATGAATTGTGATTACTGAACTTGTTAATTTATTGACCGTGTGACACAAGATACATACTTACTTTCATAATATCAATACCCTGCTCAACTCCCATGCCGCCCTCTATATGATTATTTAACCACTGAATCGCATCCGCGCTAACGAACGTTTGACTGGGAAGTGACGGATGTTGGGTCAGAAAGCCAACGCCAGTTTGAGGATGCTTCATAGCCTCGAGAATCTCCACATTCGTCGCATTGCTTTTTATCTTTGTCAATTCCATGTTCACACTGTGAGCAGATATACATACAACTATCGCATGATTATATCGGTACATCAAACGTACGTTCTGCATTTAATATTAAAATATGAACGTTTACAAAACCATCCGGAAAGTTCATCGTCTATTCTCGATACGAAAAAAAAAGAAAAGACGTAAAAAACTCTTTGTCTTACAGACTGATTATCTCAGTGTGGCGACGAAAATTACATCAAATGTGTCCAGACAGCACAAACAGATATCTTAAAGACATCTCTGAAAGACGTTTAAATAAATTAAAATGTCCTTTGGACATCTTTAAGACTTCCGTCAAAAGTGTATACTGTTTGAATATGCATAAGGAATAATTATTATGTATACAGAGTATTATCTTTCCTCCGCTAACTAAATACATCGCGTTATTCCTTATCTGAGTGAATCTGTGAGCGCCTTGTCGCTGTTTCCCCGCGCTTTCACATCGCTAAACATCCTGAGCGGCTCGCAAACATGGGCTCCTCTAAAGAGCGGCAATCCGATTTAATTTTCCATAAGGAATAACGTTACGTACTTAATGGACGGAGGAAAGATAATCGGGTGAAAGACGGTTATTTTCTACAACAACCCTGCCGGTTCTTCCGATGTGTTGTCGCGCGGATTTAATAGTTTTAACGTTAAAGCTAATCAATATGATATCTTCGCACCTGTCGTCATTGGCATCGAAATGATCCTGTTGTTGCTGTTGCTGCTGCTGCTGCTGCTGCTGCTCGATCGACAAGGGCAAGACAGCTTCACTGGCAGGCGATACACGTCCTCTGTCCATTACTTTGGAGCCTGATCTATATTACGCGCGGAAAAAGCAAAAGCGTTGATGAGAATAACAGTGTGACCGTAGGAAAATAGATGCAGAATATAAAGCGATTTGTTTTACCGAAAAAATTTCTGTTCACGCATCTTATTCGAACTTTGTAGCAGATTACAAAATTTGCAAAACCAAAATTTACGAGCCATGCTCTTCTATTGCACTGCTATTAGTATGCTTTGATTCATTATCATTTAAATATTTCAAACGTTATTACTGTAAAATTCTCAAGGTAACAGATACGCAAAATTTCTAATCCTATCAAATGTTGGCTACAAATTTATTCGCAAGCTTATATATTCTCCAAGTGAAAAGAATCTTTGTATGAAAAATATTTTTGCGATAGCGCGTGGTTTACTACAATTTTTCAACTTTTTATAAAGTGATTTTCAACAATTACAGTACGAATTATATTACCGTAGACACATATATTATGTTCATGATTTGAAAACAAATGAACAAATGCACACATTGTGTATATACTTTTAAAAAAAGAAAAGAACAATATTTCTGCTTATTATTTGATGCAAAAAAACAAATTTTTAATTATTTATGCAACTATTTAATACCAGAAGCGTTTTAAAAAAAAAAAGAGAAACTCTGCGTATCTATATGTATCCATTGCTGCGAGAGTAAAATTAACTTGTTTAATTTGTGCACGAACAGCTTCATCATGTTTGTAAATTTGAATCGAAAGAAATAAGGAAAAGAGAGAATGAAAGAGATAGAGATAGAGAGACCAACCTGTTTGGCACGTGGCGAGGAGTGTCGAGGCACGTGCGGGCAGCCGCAGCGGTATTCACTACATGCCTCTCCTGTACAGAGAACCCCGTCACTCCCTCACTCACTACCAAAATGTTCTACAAAGTGCGAAGTATGGATACAAGCGCTCTGGACAACTTGAATCTTTGCACATTTCGTAGTTTTGACAAACGCTTGTATACACGCTTCGTCGGATATGAGCCAGAAGGCAAACAAAAAGAAAAAGACGAAAGAAGCTATAAGATACAAAAACTATAGTACAAAGATCCTCTTTTGTGGAATCTTCTCACTTTTCACCTATGCATCGCACCTGCTCCACGTAAATGATATCAAAATGGATATTAATCGAGGCATCGCGACAGATGTTACCAAAGCGCGCGATAAGTTACGAGAAAAATGTGGTGGAAGAATAATTTTGTTATCGTATTCTAGAAGCATCACGTTTAATGTATGGTTGCGTAGCGACATTTAATATGCAAACATGTCCCAGTATGAATTTCACACAAACATCTCGCAGATTAAACGTGCATAAACAGTGAATAGTGAAGTGAAAGATAAAAGAAAGAAAAGAGGAAGAAATTAATAAATATCATGTACAATGAGTTCATATGTGTCAAAAGTACATCGCTGCATCCTTTTTTAGTTGCGCCTGAGTTTCAAACAAGATTATCAACCTGCTAATGCTGTCACCAAAAGCATTAAACTGAAAAGAAATAGTTTTAATACAGCTACGCATCGACAATATAAAAATCCCAGTAAAGTCAGGGAAAATCGCCGCGTCAATGCTTCATTTCGTCATCGCATATCTCAGTGTCGGACATTCGACACTAACTTTCTGGCTATTCTCTCTCGCATTAGCGTTAGAAACATGCGTATTTCCTACCAGACAAGCGACAAGCAAAATTTAGTCCGATACGTACGATGAAAATATGGAGCATTTTGGAGTAATGAAAGTATGTTCTGCAAAATCAACAAGCCAACCGAACACGTCACGATGCAAGTGTCTCGCCCAGGTGATCGAATATTTGCAATATATAATGAATCAAGCGTAAGTGAAAACCACCAAACATCAATTTCGAGTAATCCACTGAAAACAAAGGAGTTCGCAAAACTACACTGTTAGAGGTCTGCACAAAGCAACAATGCTGAAATCATCAACGTAGGCATGTTCAAACCTTGGTCTCGGTTTCTCTGGCAGACGGTTGCTTCCGAGTCGCTCTCTGAAAGGAGAGCTGCCGACTAGACTGGTCTGGAAAGTACGTATGAGTAACCGTGAACGATATGATTAAGCCGATGACGGTGAGAGAGTGTATATCTATCTAACTGTAACACGATGTTCAGTAACATTAAAAGAATACGGCGCTCGTAAGACATTAAAAATATATCGTATGTAACGATAGAAAGAAGAGTGTAAATCAAACATTGTAACATCTCACGCATAAGCTCGCTAAAATCATGGGTGCACATTCAATGCAAATATCAAGCAGGATCACAATAATCGTGATGTACGGTATTGCGCAAGCTGCCTGACCATTCCAAGTAACACGTATCAAAGAAGCGATCGTATCGAAACTCGGATACATCAAGCAGCGTTTGAGATGGTGTAAAATTGCACCAGTAAGGATCATTGCTGCGCAAAGTGAAAAGCAGGTTTCAAAGTATCGAGAAGAAAGAGAACGAAGAAAGGAACAAAAAATAGAGTAAATTGATCAAGCAAGTTTTTCTTTCTTTTGCAGCGACTCCGACTATCTTGCAATGTTTTAGACGGACGATTAAACAACGACCTCAAAACACTTTTCACCATCTTGCGAAATTACCTTTTCCGTTGCAATCTTACTCCGTCTCGCGGTACTCGAAATTGCGAATAGCGTACTGCGTATAACACTCCGTAAAATCGAAAGAAAATATTTTTCAAGAAATTTCTCAGCGGTCTGCGCCCTGCTCGTATCTGACTAGTTAGAAATTCGAAAATACGAGAGCCTCATGAACAGCTGGACTTAGTGTATCGAGGCTAAAGGAGGGGAGGATGTACCTGGTTAGTGAGGAATATCAGGCTCGTGCTGTGCCTGCGTCTGGTCAAATGAGAGGCAGGATCTCTTGGGGGAACACCACCTAGAGCTGTTGGGCTCTGAAACATATCATGCTGAATACCCCTCCCCGTACAAACATTCCAGCTACGAGTCTCTACTTGTCGCGCGTATAACGGATTTTTACACGTGGATCTATCGCGACCTTGTAATCGTAATCTCAAGTTGCTGCTGATACGTCTGCCTGCGTTTAGATACTTTGATGTGTATTTCGAAACGATCGTATGTGGTACTGATACAAGTATCGCGCAACTAATAAATTATCAATTAAATA